TATTTTGTCTAGGGCCGGGGAGATGTCTCAGTAGAATAAGTGCTTCCCTGGCAAGCGCAAGGGCCTGAGTTTAATCCCCAGTTCCACCAAAAAAAAAAAGAAGAATATTTTGTCTAGATTCTGTGAGCTCAGAATATTAGTGAAAACCAAATATATTTAACTATGTAAGCCTCACTTCATGAGCAGTACAGGGCACTGCTGGTTTGCTTTGCTGAACTCTAGCATTCAAAATCTATTAATTCAATACCATTTCTTTGTGGATAGTCCAAAATACTGACCTTGGAGCAGATGCAAAAACTACAGTGCAATAGAGGAATTAGTTAATAACTACTTCCTTAATTAATTTGCAAGAATGGCAATGCCTGGAAGCAGTGCCCCTGTGGTGACTCTTAAGTCCCTTGAGCTGGCTTTAATGGTAGAGCCTCAATTCCTGTACTCAACAGTGAGCGCAGTACAAAGAAGAAGCACGCTTGTCCGCCTTCCATCACACACATCATCGCCATTCAGAATGCCAGGCACACCTCTGAGGACTTGTGCAACTGTCAGGGGAGTCCAAGGTGGCCAGCTCTGAGATCAAAATGGGCTGCGACACTGATTACACTGGGCTCCAAACATAACCAGACCTGCCTGACACATGGGGATGTTTGGCACCTCATGTAGAGGGAGACAATATGTGCCTTTCTAGAGAGTAAAACAAAAGCTCTTTGAAGTACTCATCTTAATTGTTTGAATAATGGGGATTATGGTACCAAAAATGTCCAGTTTCAAGGTAAGCTGTAGATAACTGGCTGGTGGTGCTGAGCAGTCACTAAGCAGTCATTGTGCAGCCATGACCTGACTCGGGTGGCCCTGACATGGGGCAGGTCTCAGGATGCCCTGGACTCCCCCAGCCTCTGGGGTAGAAAGAATCATGGGATATTCTGCCTCAAGAATGGGGAGCTATTAAGGGATCTCAGCACATCTCACCTTGAAGGGCCGGAGAACAGATACAGAAGACCCTGTGTGAGGCCGAGGGCTCTGTGACCACTGCAGCTGTATACAGAGCTGGGTCCCTGCCAGCCCCCCTCTCTCCCGTGACATTACACACCTCCCCAGGAAAAGGCACACATCTGCAGGGGGACAGAGCCAGGGAGTGCACTCTATATTGAAGAGCCTGGGGCCACGGGTGCTCACCCAAGTTTGAAGGCGCACAGGCTCTCAGCATGCTGTAGTAGTGATAAAACATATTTAATTACACATGCCACGAATAGCAAACCTCCACCTGCCAGAAAGTGCACAGGCCAGCAAGGCCCTGGAAGCCACACCTGCAGGCATGTTTGACAGCAGTGCCATCAGTGCCCGTATCGGAAACTGTCACCTAAAGGGCCTGGCCAACTGTGCCTTCATTCAGGCCAGCACCCAGGGCTTAGAAAATGCTGGGATTCAATCAGGCTGCCTCATTTCACAGAACTTTTCAGAGTGGTAAACCGACTGACAGTCACTGGCAGAACTTGTTTTTCACATCCGGAGAATTGATTCAGTGAGACAAGAAGCATGTATCTACTATATCACCGTCGGATGTATCAGCTTCCACCTACAAGAGGTCTGCAGAAATCCATCCAGGAATGGACTGCTTCAGCGGAGCTGAAGAGCACAATTCCAGGCAAACACCTTCAGCCGGATTCTCCTGCTCACCTCAGGCAGCAGGAGGGCACGTACCCTCCTCCCCCTCCAACCCAAGACCCCGTGCCCGCGTGCACACAGACACACACACACAATGGATGATGCAGAATATTGCAGACTGTGTACAATAATTTCTTTTTTAATCAGAAAACATTCTACCAAAGGAATAAAAAGCCAAGACTGACCATTGATTCTGCTTTGCACTTCAACTTTTTGGCCTCCTTCATGTGAAAATCAGCTTGCTGTCTGAAAAAGAGAAAATGGAAAGGTGAGTCTTAGGCTCTGGAAATGACTTGATGGGGACAAGGCCACTGGAGGACACCAGGAAGGTGAGGGAGGGAGTGTGGAAGGAGGGGAGCTGGGGAGGAAGGGTAAGCAGTGAGCATCCGGAACCCTTACTTGTTGCCTTTCACGTGAGGCTTCCCTGGTTTAGAGGTACCATTTGGCAAAGAAGGCACTGGAAAAGGATTTGCAGTATCACTAGATCCCTGTTAAAAAAAATCATATGCAGATTATACTTCAACCCTCAGGATCACTGTCTTACAAGTAACATCTCTAGCCTCAAACAGGAGCACACCATAGACCGCAAGACATTTCCACTACGGATGTAACCGAGCTGTAGCTTCCGGCTGTCATGAGACACAGAATGCCGAAGAGATTGGGCAGCTCAAACATTCCTGCTACCCTCCTACATGCACACTCACAGGGAGAGAGGATATTTGATTTATTTGAGAATGTGGTTACTTTTTCCCATTATAGCAAATAATTAAAATATCTGAGTTCCAACATTTAAAGACGAACTCTCTGGGGTAACCATTTCTTGCATCCAAGTACTAAAAACACCCAACCCTGCTTAGCTTCCAAGATCAGATCAGATTGGGCACATTCAGGGTGGTATGGCCGTAGACTAAGGTAACCATCTCTTTCTGCAAAACATCTGAGGGAAAACTGGTATAATAATTAGAATTATTATTTAACTGATGCCTAAATGTCTGGATGAAACTACTTTGTATTCTCCTTCCAAGCACAACTTCAATTTTTTTTACAACAAGATGGTCCTTTATTTATATCCCCCTTTTTTGTTTTGTGTTGTCAGACATGGGTGTTCCATTGCTGTTTGAGAAGATGTATTTGGAGAAGTCTTTTTTTTTTTTTTTTTGTATTTTTTCAGGAAAGGACCTATAGGGTGTTCAGGGTCTCACTACTAGATCGGATTTGTAGTGATCTGCCTGGTTACAGCCTCCCAAGAGCTGGGATTACAGGCACATACCACCATGCCCAGTCTCAACTGCTGTCTCAGCGCACCTCGGGGGTGGGGGCCGGTCAGGCAGGCCCAGGGATAGAACCCCCAGTCCCTGAGCCTGCTTGCAGGTGCTTTAATCCGCTGAGCTATTTGGCTGGCCCTGGAGAAGTCTTTAAAGGACCTTTTCATATTTGATGCCAGTTCAAAGATTGCAGGTACTTCAATTCAGCAAAATAACCCAATAGAGTCCAATAGTCCATAATAGTAGTAAGTCATCAGCACAACTGGCAATTGTCTGAAGTTGTTGACTAGAATCTTTTACAGCTCAGCATATTGACATAGCTTTACTTTTTATACCTTGTGGTTACACTTTTCTGCTGGATGGTTAAGACCAAGTCAAAGCAAGACCTATATAACTAAAAATGTAACTTTTGCTATCTGATAAGGCCAGTCAAATCCAAGAACAACTTTAGAGAAGTTTTTTTAAAATTAATTAATTAGGGGGGCTGGAGAGATGGCTCAGTGGTCTAAAGCACCTACTTGAAACAAGCTTGGCAAAGCACAGGGACCGCGGTTCGATCCCCAGCACCACATGCCAGCCAGACCCGCCCCCTGGTGGGCTGAGCTGGCCACACACACACACACACAATAAATAAATGTAATAAATAAAAATAAATGAATATTAAAAATAAAAAATAAAAATAAAATAAAATAAAATTAATTAATTAGGGCTGGTGAGATGGCTCAGTGGTCTAAAGCACCTACTTAGAACAAGCTTAGCAAAGCACAGGGACCGCAGTTCAATCCCCCAGTACCACATGCCAGCCAGCCCCGCCCCCTGGTGGGCTGAGCTGGCCCTAACACACACACACATAAATAAATAAAATTAAAAAATAAATAAATAAATAAAATTAATTAATTAGTGTGTGTGTGTGTGTGTGTGTGTGTGTGTGTGTGGCCAGCTCAGCCCACCAGTGGGCGGGGCTGCCTGGCACGTGGTGCTGGGGGATTGAACCACGGTCCCCATGCTTTGCTAAGCTTGTTCTAAGTAGGTGCTTTAGACCACTGAGCCATCTCACCAGCCCCTAATGAATTTTATGTTGTGTGAATGCTTTTGGGTTTTTTTTGGCGGAACCGAGGATTGAACTCAGGCCCTTGCGCTTGCCAGGGAAGCGCTTATTCCACTGAGCCATCTCCCTGGCCCCCCAAGAACAACTTTAAAAACAACTCGGTATCATCGCCAGCTAGCACAGCCCGATGGCTCTGCAGCACTGTGGTCAGGGATGAACTCGGATGCCCCCAGCAGTCCTGCTTCCTTCCCACTTACCCTGTGTTCTGCGGAGCCCTTGCCCTGGGCTTTCCTGTGCTTGGGAACGGAGGGGTCCCTATGGCTGCTCTTGGGAGCACTGGCACTTTGGGGAGGGTCCTGGCAGAGGTCTGCTTCTCGCCGTGACCGCTTATGTGTGTACTTGGCTGGCTTCTGGGAAGACGACGTGGAGGACGACGACACAGGTGGAGGGGGGAGCATTTCCTTTTTTGAGGGTTCTGAGGAGGGCTTGCGGGTCCTAGAGTGAAACATTAAGCAAAGTTAAGTTGATCTCAACTGTGGCAGAATAGAAATCAAGCAACTCAATTATAAGGACAAAACCGAGGCTGGAGGGTTGAGTGTGATGCCACAGCCGTGCAGCTTCTGGATGCCCGCAACCTCCAGGCTGTTCATTAGGAATGACGCAGCTGCAGTTTCTTGTGCACCTGCCGTCTACTGAGGGTCCTGGCTTTCCCTGGCTGTGCTCTCTCCCACCTCAACTGCTCCTGACTGGACTCGCCTCAAGCCACAATGACACCCTCTGCATGGCTTCCACATCAGGACAGCTGAGGCCAAGCCACACGTGAAGGATGTTTCTTAAATAAATTAAAAGCAGACAACAGTTCCTTCCTTGCTGGCCAGCAGGGTTCCTGGCAGCCACCATCACAGGGCCTACACTTCTATCTGAAGGACATGTGGATCCCAGATCCCGCTCTGGGGTCCATTTCCAATTCTGCAAAAAAGGGAAAACAACAATGTCCTTCTATAACTCCTGATACCTGGGAAACTTTCTTTCATGAAAAGCCTTCTGATAAAAGCTAAGCCTGCCGCTAAATGAACTGATAGTCCCTACGGGTGCCCAGAGGTGACAGGAGCCCAGGACATACTTAACCCACTGGTGTCCTGAGTCACACTACACGCATCAGTCACTGATTCTGCTGCATTGATTCTGTCCTCTTAGGCCCCAAGAGGACTTAGAACCCTTCCAGGCTGTGCCCAATCACCATACTCACTTTGTTTTAGAAGATTCTTTGTGGGAGGATGAAGACAAAGAGGGCTGTGATTTGACTTCTTTCTCTAGTCTGGTTTTCTTACTGTCGCAGTCTCTCTCTGCTTCCCCCTGTCATTGTGGTACAGCAAGCAAGGCACAGTGTTACAGAGACCACCACACACATGAACAGGGCCAGCAGAAAAGGCCAAGGGAGCAACCTGACCTCTGCGACACTCACACATGCGCAGCAGCCTGGCGCGCTCTCAGAGGACAATCTAAAGTCCATGCTGCTTGGATTGAGACAGATTTTTGTGAAAAACGATGAACTCTCACAGCCCCAAAAGGGATAATGTCTAAGGTAACACACAGCTCACAGTAAATCAACTGGAAGATACTGCTACATTTCTCTAAATATTAAGAATCAGTAATCTGTAGGTCTAAGTCTCCAGCCCCGCAGCAGCCAATACATCATACACATTCACAATTAGGAATGTCCCTACTGCCTTCCAAAGAACCATGCACTCACGTCCACTAATGTACTGCATGCCCTAAGTCCACTCTGGCGTACTTAAAGCTTACCTCTCTTCTAATCAAACTAAGGGTACTATTCAAAAGACATGGACCTATCTGTGCTCTTACATTCTCAAAATACAATTTTAGTGGGAACAAGGGGAGGAAAGCAATCTATAGGATTTAAGGAACTCATTTATACACCTAAAGTGCCACACAAATACTTGGTTCTCACACTGAATTCTTTCCATAATTGTGGTTGCTGCCAGAATTGTGCAATGAATTCTGTGACCAGAACTGTGGAAAAGAGTTAAGTCTGTGAACCTAGCTTCACTGTATATCTCATGGGCAAGAACAAAGAGGTCCTCATGGCAAAAGCCATTTCCACATTGTCAAGAGTCACTGAAGTCTGACCCCAGGACTTTGACCAGTCCTGTTACATGTTCTGGACTGTGCGGCTCAAGAAAGTCTCTTCTCAGCTGGTGGCAAAGAACAGTGGGGGCCTGCAGTTGGCTCCCCGACTGTGCACTCCAAAAGTTAGAAATCTGGGACCCTGCCAGTCAGTCCAAGACAACCTCCCATCACCGCAGCCTCAGAAACCATAAGTGAAAAAGGTGGTCTTCAAATTAGCTGTCTGTGGGAGGTCCCAGTTTTCATCAACATATCTTCCTCTTCCCCAGAATTTATCCTAGGAAAATGAGGAAACAGAGATGGATTGGCCGAAGGTCTACCCAGATTCTAATGAACAACCCGCTCCTACTCAAAAGAATGCACAACAGCAAAATACTTTCATTTCACTACGCAGTCTTGCTTCAAAGCACATCTGCTCAGGGGCTCCCAGAGGTGCCTGCCTTCACCTTCTCTGTGCAGACACGAGATTGGTGGCGAGTGGCCAGGCTGCAGGATAGCTCCAGCCATGGGAGTATAGGCTTGATTGGCATCTGGGCAGCACTGGGTCCTGAAAGCGGCTGCTACAGAGGAGGGATTTTGAAGAGAATGTAATGGGAAAAAAAAAACTGAATATTTACATGGTATCTGAGACATAAGGCTAAGTTATCAGAATTACTGCCACACTGTGGTGGGTAAGCAGAAAACGCACTGGTGCCTTAGAGATGTGATCAGTGCCTGTGGGAGGATGCAGGCAACCATCTCAGAAGGCCTCTGAGTTCTAAGCCACCCCTAAAACGCCACCAGCCAGCTGGAATCAGGGTCCCAGGGGAAAATCCAAAGTGAAGGGCCTAGGACAGGCCTGGAGAAGTTGCCAGGGGCTGGTGGCAGGGCTGGGCACAGCAGCAAGTCTGTGAGCAATCCTCATGGTAGCAAGAAAGAATCATTACTGGTGGGCAGGTTTTGCAGGGAAGGCTGCCCCACCTTGTCCAGTCTTGAAGACTGTAGGGCTGACCCAGCAAGCATTACAGAAAGATAGGACATTCATCCCTGGGGAAGTGAAAACGGGAAAAAATGTCTACACAGCTGTGAGCTTGCATAGGACAGCAATACCCAGTTTTTAAAACGGAAGGGGTTTCCAGGAAATCGAGGACATACAGAGGTCCCCAAGACACAGCTGAATGTATGTCCCCACCAAATGACCACCTTCACAAGACACCACAGCCCAGAGGTGAACTGAGAGCAATGGGTGTTTGCACTTTCCCATTGCTTAGGACAGGCTGGCTGTGACTTAATCCAAAGCAACAGAATATATAAAGGATACAATAAAACAAGCTGCACTGGGTCAGGCCTCACACAGGCCAGAACTGTGCCATGTATTGGCTGGGAAGTGGAAACCAGTCGCTGCCAGATACCATCCTCAACACTAGCAGTGAACAAAGCTAACATCCAGCAACTCACTGGAGTAACACGCTTCCTATCCTACCTGGCTGCTCAGATGCTAATTCAGTTACACACTGTAAGGCCCCTCCTGTGGGGTTCACTGCAGGCAGCACAGCCCTTTGCACCTGTGTGGGGCTCAGCCATGTTCCCACCCAAAGTGTCCTGGCATCTCGGTGTTCCTCAGCTGGCATGAGGAGGAAATGTCACAGATGACAGACATGGGTGAGGTCCCCAGAAGCAGGACTGGAGGAACCCCTGCAGGTTTAACCGGAGACCTGAGACCCAAGTCCCAAGCCCTGCTAGAAGAAGGGCAGCCTGGGACTCTTCAGCAAGTTCTGATAGTGGGGCATTTTCTTCCTTGGAGAGGGCCTTTACCCCACATTACCTCCATTTCTGGGGCTCTGGTCAAAGGCCTGGAATTTAGGAATTCCTTTTACATACTGGTGAGAAGGCAGCTGGCTGGCTTCTAATTTGCTTGTTTGCTTTCCTTGACCTGTTGGGGCAGGCAGCTGGGTGATCTGCCAAGGGCTGCCCCACCTACAGAGCTGCAGGGCTGCCTCGGGGCACCAGCGCCTACCCGCCCTGCAACCTGGCTCAGCACGTAGGCACTTGTTGGCAGCAGGGAAAGGGAGGTGGCCCTTCCCAGAACTGACAGCACTTCTAACTGGTGGACAGATGAGGGATGTGGTCTGCTAGGAGTGTAGCTGCCATGGGGAGGTGGAGTGCCTGAGAACCTGAGAGGGGCGGAGCAGGGACTCCAGAGTGACCACCCTGTGCACTGTAAGCAGCAGAGGCCACACCCCCATCTGGATTTCTGACACCCTCCCCCCACGCCTCACCTGCCTCCCTGCACACATTTGCACAGATGAGCCATCTCACCAGACCCTGCATGTGAAAAAGGGGTGAGATCCCCTGCCAGGCTGGATGCAACACAGCTGGGCTTGGCCCTGCTGCACTCAGCAGCCGTGGGGGAACCAGCCAGGAGGGGCGCACAGCCTGGGCCCCTCAGGGCTCAGTCAATGCCTGACACTGTCCCTGCAGGAAGCAGAGCAGCCCAGCATGCACCAAGCACCAGGCAAGTGGAGCCATGTAAGATGCGTGCAGGATGCTTGCGGAAGTCCGGGCCACTTCCCGAAGGAAGCTCAGCAAGAAAAGGACTGGGACATTCAGTCCAAGCTTGCACCAGGGCCAGGGCCAGGGCCGTCCTGAGGAGACTGGTAATGCTGGCCAGAGTGACACTAGAAAGGAGGCAAATTGCTGTGGCTGAGCAGCTGCAGGAAGGTGGAAGGAACGAGCCTTCCAGCCTGCGCTTCGGAAGACCAAGTCTGTGGGTGCTGATCTGTAGAAACAGCTTAAGAAAATGCAGGGGGTCCTATGGGGAAGGGGTAGGAGCAACCATCTCAGGGAACAGAAACACAGCTTTTCTTAACACCTATGACTACCATTCCACACTGAAAACAATCTCAATCTCTGTCTCTGTCTCTGTCTCTCTGCACAGAAAGTGTTTTCCAAAAATATCTTAGTCATCATTTAGAAAGAGGTGAATAAATGCACTCTCTTGCAGCAGTTGGTTTGTGACCATTAGGACATTATTTGTTTGAAAGGGAATCTGTGAGGTGGCCAGGAGGAGGAGGAGTCTAGGAAGAGCCCCACAGGTGCCCTGTGAGGAGCATCTTGGCCCCTCCTCCCACGCTGGCTGTGACTCTCAACTTTGACAATTACAGAGATGGGTGTGGTGGTGCCGCACACCTGCAGCCCTGCATGGCGCTGAAGAGAAGGCCTGTGTGGCAGACTCCACAGTGTAACTTAGCAAGAAGACCCTGTCTCAAAATTTTATCCCGTGAAGCTGCAGTTCATATGTGGCCTCAGTCATTCTCAGATTTTTCTTTAAATCCTAACAATCGGTCTCGAAAACCTCAACCATTTCTCAGAAACTAAAAAAATCCTCCAAAATCTTTTTTTTTTTTGGTGGGATGTGTGTAAGTAGCCAACCTGAGGCTGGTATTCAGCTCTCCTCGCTGCTGACTAGCTGCTGGGCTGTCCCCCACTGCAGGCAGATGAACAGAGCTCCTGCTTCATAGCAGGGTGCTGTGCCATGTGTCACTATCTCTAGTGTTCTGCAATTTATGTTGTTGTTGTCATCTTTCTTGAAAAAGGGTTTCAGCACACAGTTCACACTGGCCTAGCTCAGCAGATTAAAGTGCCTTCTTAGCCATATGCAGTGGCCCGGTTCAGTTCCCCAGGGTATGCTGAGACTCAGTGTGGTGGCACGTGCCTGTAATCCTAGTGTTTGGGAGGTTGAACACAGGCAGATCACTGTGAGCCGAATCTATGTTTGTGAGACCCTGCACACCCTGTAGACATTTACTAAAATACAAAAATGCTGGCCTTGAACTTGCAGTGATAATCCTCCTCCCGAGTGCTGGGGTGACAGGCCTGCGCCACCATACCCAGCCAGTTTGTTACTCTTGTGTGTGTGTGTGTGTGTGTGTGTGTGTGTGTGTGTGGTACCAGGGATTGAACTCAGGACCCTGTGCTTGCCAGGCAGGCCCTTATTCTACTGAGCTATCTCCCTGGCCCTAGTTTGTTATTCTTAAAGCCCTAAGATCCCTAAGATGCCACCAAAATGGCCTGCATTTTCTAGAGCTTTATTAATACAGTATTTTATTAAACTAAAATCACACAGCTGTGGAAGACACAGCATATTTAGGGTTTAAATTATAAAAACAGGCGTTTATAGGCAGTTTTCTGACTGCACCTGAAATCTGTGGTTTGCTCTAGGAACGTGGCCCCTGTGAATTTCAGGGGTCTACTGTAAATCTAAAGACAGCTGAGGATGAAGTTCAATGTGAAGGCTCTGGACTCAATCCCCAACTGCCACATATATATGAAATATACATCAATATTTTAAATTCTAAACTGCAATCAGAGTGGTAAAGTTCAACAGTTCATGCAAGGAATGCAATGTGATTTCGCACTTGGGGTCCTCCCATGCTCCGCTTTGCCTTGTGAGCTTCCCAACCTCTCCATCACGGTGGGAAAAGGGCTAAGCCCACTCAGCCAGTGCTGTGCCTGTGGGCTAGCAGCTGGTGGCTCCTGGGCCTGCCTTCTGTTCTGTGCCAGGGTAGCATCCCAGCCCAATCACTCCTCTTTCCACAGGCGGTTAAGCCTCAAATGCCCTGAGGAACCTGTGATCCCTGGACACTTCTACTGAACTTCACGCCAGGAGGGGTAGGCTTTAAAGGGTTTTGTATAACTGCACTCAGTCACACCTCCAGGGGCTCTGACTTCACTGCAGAGAATTTTGTCCAGCATTCACACCTAAAAACTGACTCCCAGCCCAAACTGGGGCAAGGGCCGCAAGCTTAGAGGCCAGCACTCTCCTGCTAGCCCAGCAGCCAGGCCCTCTGCGGGCACCAGCAGGGATCTCCAGGAAAGGGCTTCAGTCTGCCCGACAGGGCCCTGACAGCAGGGCCAGGTCTGCAGATGGACAGCGCTCAGTGCCACCTGCCTAGGAAAAAGGAGGAAGGAAAACCACAGGATGCAGGGCTCTCCCCTGGTGCAGAGGTACTGCAGGCTGCTGTTTAAGCTCACTTATGGGAGAGCTTCTGAGCAAAATGATGCACGACAAACTCTAGCCAGAGCAGAAGCTCCTCAAGGCCCAGGATTCCCATCCCCAGGGGCTTTGGGATCTCTGAACAATTTTCAAGACTGCCCCGGGGGAAGGCACCCTGGCTCCCAGACTAGCAGCCCCCCCTTGGGACTGTAAGCCAGCTAGGGTTTAGAAGCTGCACCATGTCTGCACCTCTGAGAGGCAGCCTGTTTTGGACCAAATGCCAGCAGCTCACCAGAGCTTCAATGAAATCATGCATTTAACCAGGCACGGCGGTGCAGGCCTCTATCCCAGCACTCTGGAACGCTGGGGCAGGAGGATCCAAGTTCTAGCCCAGTGCAACCCAGCCCAGCCAGGCAATTTAGCAAGATACTCCATCAAAATGTTTTCCTAAGACAATCTTTTTAAAAAGCTGGGGATGTAGCTTAGTGTGAAAGTCCTGGGTTCAATCCTCAGTAATGAAAAACAAAATCATAGGCCTAAAGACAAAGGGACCATTACAATCTCTCCTCGCTCAAATCAAGAATGCATGGCCCACCCTACTTCTCTGGGCTCCTGGGGGTATGGGTCTCACAAGCAAGGGCAGAGCCTAGCCTTGCCTTCTGTGGTGGCACAGTGACTGCGCACTTGTGCTGCAGCGGGCTGGGCCGGACACAAAGAGGCTCCTCCCGGTTCTGGTGGATGCTTCTACTGGGAAGTCTGTGAGCTGGAAGTGCACAGCCCTGACTCCTGCAAGTGCAGGGTATGACATGGAGACCACACCCACAGGTGACAAGAGGCCCCCAGAAGAATGGATACACGTGCAGTCCTGAGGGCCTCATGGACAGAACATGCGGGGCCCTCTGTACCAAGTGGGCTCATCACTATTTCCTCCATCCAATTTCTGTACTATATATGTCTCAGTTACTCTTCTCTCATTGCTGGGACAAATACCCAACAGCCAAAATGAAAGCAGGAAAGGTTTATTTAGCGCACAGTTACTGGAGGTTTCTGTCCATACTTGGCCAGCTCCAAGGCAGAGCAGCACAGGGCAGAGAACCACCTTACATGGCGGCAGCAAAATGCAAGAGAGCAAAATGGAGGAGCAGCAGCAACAAAGGCCACAGAGAGGAAGTCTACCTTGCTTAAGCTTCATTCAGGCTCTCCGCCCCAGGCTGGAGAGGTACTCACATCCATAATCCCAGCCTTGATCATGAATTAATCTCAAACTCTAGAACTCCCCACCCCATGACTGCATGAGGCTTTGGCAGACTAGACACAAAGCATACATACACACATACCCCACATTGTAAAACTTCTGTGGTATGAACTGTGGGCTCTTCTGTGACCCCCGAGCAAGCCCAGTGAGCTGCCCGGTGACATGCAGTCAGTGGCCACGCAGCCCTCCTGTCTCCCGTGGCAGCAGCCCGTCACTGCCTTGCCTGTTACTCTGAGCCAGCTTCCACAGCTGAACACAATGCTTCTCACCACACACACAAGCCTCAAAGTACTGTCCCATCCACACAGGAGAGAACTGGCTCTTCTGATGCCTGTGACTTGGCACCTCGGACAGGTAAACTCAGCAAAGGAAGCCACTGGCTGACACTAATCTTTCAAAGTCATGAACAGGCAAACAGGCTCAGAATTCAATGATTCAGAATAAAGGAAAAGAGATTCTACGAAACACTGATTTATCTAAGTCAGAGTGTTCTAAAGGTTGTAGAGACTTTCTCTTTTTTTAAAAATGAAAACAAAAAACAACCCTACGAGTGATCCTTCCATGAAACAAACTTGCCTGGCACACCCATGGCTCTGGGTTCAAACCACAATGCCATTAAACAAAAAACACACAAGAGCACCATCTAAGAACAAAATTTATACATGGCAGTTCTTTCAATAATTCTGTTTTTGGGTTTTGTGGTCCTGGGAATCGAACTCAGGACCTTCTGCTTGCCAGACAAACAATTATGCCTCTGAGCTATCTCCCTGCCCCTTCCTCCCTTTTAGTAATTCTCCTTAGGAAACCATTTCACTTCATATAAGATCCTAATTTGTAGGCAAACCTAAAGGACTAGGTGGTAAACTCCAGTCATCTCCCTACACAACAATGTGCCCTCGGGACAGGGAGTGTAGCTCCACAGCCGACTGTACAGGGGCACCTGGAAACCGCCACAGTACACTGGAAATGTCTCCAGGCGCTACAGAAACTGGACAAGTGACTGGAAAGAGGGAAGGGGGCAGACGGTTCCCCAATTAAAGCCAAGTCTCCCAGCCTCTGCTGGGGCACCCCAGAACTGGGTCCACACCCGCTGGGCCGCAGCACCCACCTTCCTCTTCCTGGCCCCCTTGACAGGGCTGTCTGAGCTCCTCTTCTCCAGCTCTTGCCTCTTCCCTGCAGATGGCAGCTTCTCCTCTGGCTTCTTGGGGCGGCCCCCCTTCCCAGGCAGCTGGGGCACCCTGGCGATGAGGTTCAGGGCTATCTTCACTACCAGGCTGTGGGGGACAGGCATGTCCCTAACTGGTGAGAGCACCCTGGTATGCCTCAGGGGCAGTGGCGTGTCCTTGTGGCTGTCCTCCTGGATCACCATGGCCTGCCGACAGCCACTAGTCCTGCCGCTGCCCTGGGCAGGGGCCTGAACCTGCGCCAGAGGGACGGGCGCGAAGGGCTCAGGGCTTGGGGCCTGTGCACTGCTATCAGCGGGCACAGAAGCGCAGCTCACAGGCTGCTCTTTTTCCCCAGGGGCTGGAGGGGTGGGCCCAGGTTCCCTGTTGCCCCCAGCTCGCGGCCTGCCTTTCGTCTTCACCCTGGGCTTGTCTTTGCAGGTTGGGTCTTTTGGGTTGCAGAGGACATGGGCTGGCTCCCGGTCCCTCTGTGAGCTGGCCCTCGTGTCCGTGGCTGTGGCTGGTGCCGAAGCCTTGGTGGGCCTCTTGGGGTGCTTGGTCCCCACAGTCTGCCGGGGTGGCAGCTCCTGCTGCACTGGGGATTTGTGGCTGCCTCTCCTGCTGGCGTGAGGGGCTTCGGCGGGGCCCCGGGGCACTCTGCTGCAACTCTTCAGGGGCGGGGCTTTGGGTTCTACAGGTGTAGGGCCTGTGGCTCTGGTAGCACTGAGGTCACTGTCATCCTGACCCTGCTGAGCCCTGCAGCGCGCAGACTCGGCGCCGCCGAGGCCTTCGGGCGCTGTGGCTGGCTGGCCCACCTTGCTCAGCCAGTTGTCCAGCTGCCATTTGTTGGTTGGTGGAGGCTCAGGCTGAAATCAGGAAACAGAAAGGAGTGTTAGCTGAACAGCACCAATCACCTCTTCTGTAATGTCACAGGCCTGTCCCCGGGAAAAGTAATCATTCCAGACCTTGCTTCAGATGCTGTCCATCCTCCTCACACTTGACAGTCTTAACAGCTCCTCAAATACAGTAATCTGTTTGTGTGCTCTGGGAATTGTGATGTGGCAGACAGTAATCGATCACTGACAACTGCTGGGAAATTCTGTAACCCAATGCTCGTGGAAGCAAAAGAATTAGGATGTGCTCTGTACATGCTGTAGCTCCCCACGATGAAGGCCCTCATGGAGAACAGGACTCTGCGAGAGCACAAAGGGGAATTCAGCGAGGCCCACACCTGTAATCTCAGATACTTGGAGACCAGGGCAGGTGGAGCACAAGGTCAAGGCCAGTCTGGGCAACACACTGAGAGACCTTGTCGCACAGTAAGGAATGGGGCTGGGGGCTGGGTGCAGATGAGTAGTACGCAACGGCCTGGCACGCACAAGGCCTGGGCTTCAATCCCTAGGGCTGCAGCAAGTTGGGGGTGGGATATCTGATATAAGACATCCTCAGCAAGGCCTTTCAGAAAGCAGCTGAAGTGTAAACAACCTTTCAGCAGCTGTCTCTGAGCACCACGCTTTATTCTCTCTGGCACACTTTTCTATTGAAAACGACTTTTCTTCAAAATGATTTCTCTACTTAAAAACAAACATTAATATGTGACAAGGTTATCAGTGTGCCGGAAGTATGCACTGATGTTCACATTTTACCCCTGAATAGAGACAAGTGAAGTCACACAGCCAAGCACTAGTGAAATCAAAAGGGATTAAGTTAGGATTAAGTTTCTCCCTCTGGGCTGGGCACAGTAGCATACCTCTTTTATTCTACCACTTGGGAAGGCCGCTGCAGGAGGATCTCCATGGGTTCAGGGCCACCCTGGGCTACCTAGTAAGTTCAAGGCCAGCCTGCACTACAAAGCGAGACCCTGACTCAAAAAAAAAAAAAAAAAAAAGTTTCTTACTCCAGGCATCCAGGTCTGAAATAGACCTATTGCTGAGATACAAAAGGAAGTCCCAGGACACATCTCAGGCAGTGGTGATTGTCTGGGTCACCTGTGGGACTGAGTTGGCCAACTAGCAAAAAGTCCGTATGTTCTCTTTTGTTGTTTTTAGAACAGTTATCACCAACTTAACTCCTAATGCACGCTGTCACCCTGTCTCCCAGCAAGGTTATGAGATCTAAACAGAAGGTCACAGACAGCAGCGGAGACAAGATAGGTGAACACTCTGAGGCCTGGGCATTGTGGGTCATGTACAAAAACATGAGGGCCAACCAAGTGATGATTTTAGTTTGTTTTGTTTTGTTTTTTCCTTTAAAGGGCTTGATTCATTTTTCTCGAGACCTTCTCTGACAGGAGGTTTTTATGAGTGACTAGCTAATAAGTCTATATGAATAACTTAAGCACATGAAGCACCAGGATGACAATTGAAAAACTTTCACACAGTATTTAGCTACTAGATTACAGGTAAGGAGACACCCCAGATGCAGAATTTTGCTTTCTTGTGCTGTGGATGAACCCAGGGCCTCCAGTATGCTAAGCAGGCACTCTACCAGTGATTTGCAACCTCGGCCCCAGGAGGCTGGATTTTATAGGAAAGATTGCTGACAATTTTCATAAGTAAATAGACCAAGTAAATCCAATCTGTAAAAACATTACATAAAGTTTTTTTTTTTTAATCAGTGAAAGATTAAGTAATAAAATGATAAGGCAGGTAGTTTGGGCTTATTGTGTTTGCAACACAACAGAACTAAAAGGAATTTTAAGAAACCAGGTATGATCACACTTTGGATAGGAAACTGAACCACTGGTCTGTGTGGCCTATTCCATCCTGATGCTTATTCCCTACAGCTTCCTGTACTTACACCCTCCACCCATGCCCTCTTGAATTCAGAGCACGAGGAACAGAAAGGAAGTCACACTTGTGTGCCAGGCATTTTGTCCTGCATAAATCTGAACTGCATCCAATTTTCCTACAGGACAAGCTTACTAAGGGCAGAGGTCAACTCAGTGCCCAAGGGTCTCCAATGGCTCACTGACCAGGCCAGGAAGTGGGGCACAGCCTCTGGCCCTCTGCCAGGAACCAAGCCTGCCCAGCCTCCCTTGGGAAGGTGGCGTGGATCTGAGCTACCACTGCATGCAGAGCTGCAGCACAACACTGCCGCGCACCTCCCAAGTGTAAACTCAAGGGAAGGACTTCTGGTTAGGTCAGGATGCCCTCTTGCCCCTAGAATAGGCTGTACTGGGACACACTTAACAGTCCCTAAAGGAATGTTCTGATTACAAAAATAACACTTTCACTGCAGTCAAAATGTGTAGAAGGGAGGCTTCAGTCCAACTGCAGACTCGGATGGGCTGGGGTGCCTGGGTGGGGTGAGTGCTAAGTGCCAGACAGGACTGCGCGGCGGCTGCTTTCCTGACTCTCCCCCTCCCTCTTCCCAGGGCAGCTACAACCCAAACACTGCAGCTTGGAAGTAGGGACAAATGTATCATTAAGTGCTTCAGTAAGTGTCTGACCGTATGTCCCTTTACCTCTCCTAACCATTTAGTTTGTTTGTTTATTTATTTTGGTAGAACTGGGGATTGAACCCAGCTCCTTGCACTCACCAGGCAAGTGCTTATTCTATTGAGCCATCTCCTTGGCCCCATATTTAGTTTAATTTAGAATGAATACTAGTTCTGAATATTCTTAAACTTTCAGGTAGCAAAAGGCCTTGTGATATGTCCTACATATTTTGAAAAGTTGAGTGACATTTTGATTTACAATACAGCATAGACAGGGGCCAGGGAGATGGCTCAGTGGAATAAGTGCTTCCCTGGGAAGTGCAAGGGCCTGAGTTCAATCCCTGGTTGCAAAAAAAACCAAAAGAGAGTTACTTTAAAAAAAAAAAAAAAAAAAAAAAAAATTATATATATATATTCTTAAAGGGGCTGGTGAGATGGCTCAGTGGTCTAAAGCAACTATTTAGAACAAGCTTAGCAAAGCATCAGGGACTGCGGTTCAATCCCCTAGCACCACATGCCAGCCAGCGCCGCCCCCTGGTGGGCTGAGCTGGCCACACACACACACACACACACACACACACAAATAAATAAAATTTTTTAAAAAAAATACAGCATAAACATGGAAACAGAATCAGTGGGGATCCTCCCAGCTCAGCAGCAGCTCAGAGGCCAGGCTATGCAATGTTTAGCCCTCTGAGAGTCCAGGACCACTGCAGCCAGCAAAAGGAATTAGTGTGCAGCCACAGAAAGCTCCTTTTCAGCATTAAAAAGAGGAATTGGTTTTATTTTACTCTTTTCTATTTCTCTTTTTAATGCTGAGAAAATCCTAAAGGTATCAATAGATATTGTGAAAGGGAAAGAAACTGTTCAAAGGGAAGGAATAACTAGGAAGAGGGAAAGGAAAAAAAAAGAGAGGGAGGGAAGGAGAGAGAGAAAAACACATACACACACAAGACAGCTTGGGTAATGGTACTGCTGATTTCTACTCATCTATTAAAAGGACAGTTAATGCTAAAAAATATTTTTGACCAATTTTACATGCTTATATCTGATAACCTTAACAACTAATTTATAGACAAAAAAAAGAAAAATACAGACAACAATATGCAATATAACAAAGCGAGACCCTGCACTACAAAGCGAGACCCTGACTCAAAAAAAAAAGTTTATTATTTAATTATTGAATTTCTATCATTTATTTTTTACTTATTTGTGTGTGTGTGTGTGTGTGTGTGTGTGTGTGTGTGTGTGTGCAGGTTCTCACTATAGCTCAAACTCGTAGTGATCCTCATGTTTTCTGCCTCCCTAGTGCTGGGATTATAGGCACACACCACCACGTCCAGACTCCATTGCCAGGCTCAGCGAGCTTGGGGGTGGAGCCAGTGAGGCATGCAGTGCCAGGGACTGAACCCTAGCCCCTGCACTCGCCCAAGCAAGTGCTTAGTCCGCTAAACTATCTCACCGGTCCTCCTATCATTTTGTTTAATGAAATTCTGTCTTTTTTTTTTTTTTTTTTGAGGAGCTGGCTTAACCCACCCTGGGGGCAGGGCTGGCATGGCATGTGGTGTGGGGGATTGAACCACAGTCCCTACCTGGGCTTGCCTAAGCTTTAGACCACTGAGCTATCTCACCGGCCCCTCTGTTTCATTCCTAATGGGTATCAGTTTAGTATTTTTTATTCTCTTTAAAAAATAAAAAATGAAAATAGAAATGGGTGAGAAAGCTGAAATTAATACCTGTGGTTCGCTATGAAATTAGTGAGTTTTTTGTTTTGTTTTGGTTTCTTTTGGGGTTTTGAAGCAATTTAGACTGGTCTTGAGCTTGCTTTTAGCCCCGGCTCATCTGGAATGCACAATGATCCTCCTGCCTCAGCTTCCCAAGTGCTGGGATTACAGGCTGTATTACATTTTATAAATGCAGGTAGATATTTTAAAAGGAGGAAAAAAATCACTAAGTGCCTTAAGGAGCCCTGAAGGTAAATAATTAATTTCTGGAAAGATAAGCCCAATATGTAACATATGAACCCTCCTCCACAAGGCCGAATTTCCTATCAATATATATATTCAAATACCAAGGGCCAGCCAAATAGCTCAGTGGATTAAAGCACCTGCAAGGAGGCACAGGGGCCAGGGGTTCAATCCCCAGGCCTGCACTGCTGGCCTCACCCCTGGGGCATGCAGAGAAGGCAATTAAGATTGGGCTTGGTGGCACACCTGTAATCCCCGCTCTTGGGAGGCTGTAAACAGGAGGATCTAGTAGTGTGAACACCCTGTAGACTCTTCCCTAAAATTTAAAAAAAAAAAAAAAAAAAAAACCAACATTTTAGTAGAGTTTAAGAAAATGAAGTAGAGAGGTAGGGGAGATAGCTCAGTAGAATAAGCTCTTGCCTGGGAAGCGCAAGGGGCTGAGTTCAATTCCTGGTTCCACAAAAAAAAAAAAGAAAGAAAGAAAGAAAGAACAACAACAACAACAAAAAGAAAGAACAACAACAACAACAAAAAAGAAGTAGAATGAGAGATTTATTTTATACTTAAGACGTCTGAATCTGGGACTGGGTAGATGTCTCAGTTGAATAAGTGCTTGCCTGGCAAGCGTAAGGGCCCGAGTTCCATCCCCGGCTCCACCAAAAAAAAAAAAAGGCCTGGTTCTGTTATAGTAATTGTGTGTGTGTGTGTGTGTGTGTGTGTGTGTGTGTGTGTGTATTATACATATTTTATGTATTTGGTACAGGATCTCCTGCATAGCTTGGACTCCTGTTTCTGCCTCCCTAGCGCTGGGATCGCGGGCCTGCGCCACCAGGCCCGGCGTCTCAGTTACTCTTCTCTCATTGCTGGGACAAACACCCCAACACACAAAATGAAGGAAGAAAGGTTTATTTAGCTCACAGTTACTGGAGGTTTCTGTCCACACTCAGCTGGCTCCAAGGCAGAGTGGTACATGGCAGAGAGCAACATTTCATGGCAGCAGCAAAGAGCAGGAGAGCAAAAAGGACAGAGTAGTGGCAACAAAGGCTACAGAGAGGGGAAGTCAGGTTCTCCGCCCCTCGCTGGGTGTAGCACCCACACCCAGAATCCCAGCAGCACTCACACCCATAATCCCAGTGGATCATGAATTAATCACAAACTCTAGGAGTCAGCCTCATGATTGCATGGGACTTTGAGGGACAAACACCCGGGGTTTCAGTGGTCGGCTCAGTGTTGGGCCGGCACAGCATATGGTACTGGGATCAAACCTGGCGGGCTGTGCCTGACAGGCAGGCGCTTAGACCGCTGAGATAGCTCCCTTACCCTGTTGGTAATTTCTTGAGGAAGGCGATGAAACTATTTTTCTCTTTATAAGGAACAGCAGATTGGATTTCTACTTTTAAAGTTAGCTTAATCTGTACCATTCTGATTTACTTGAATTGTATTACTTAACTGAATTATGTTTTTATATCAATACTAACAACCATGCAGATTTTTCTTACTGCAACAAAGATAAAACAAAGCAAAACTCTTATAAACCTCATAGTGAATATCATATAATTTATCTGCATGGTACATTCCCCCTAAGGAATAGGAAAATTCTTTCAATAACAATTGGTTATCACACTAGGAGATGAAGTCTCAAAAAGATGGGCCAGTCTGCAATATCGGAAAGGTCCTGCTTGGGATGCGGTTCCTGCTGACCTACACATGTGTGCTCTGAACAGTACTAGGCACTGATTTCCCAGAGCACAGCCAACCCACAGCGACACCAGCTACTCTGGTGGCCTCCTCTGCCCTCGGGGCCCCCAGGCTTGGGGGGGGGGGTGTCCTCCAGGGGAATCTGCCGTCTCTCTCCACAGCACTGAGGAACACAGGAAACCTTCCTGCCGCCTGCTCAGAAAGCCTCACTTCCTGCCTGCTCCTACAGTTAGCTGGTTTTCTCTATGGGGCCTGGTCCCACTGAGAATTCAGTGCTGCCAGCACCTTGCAGTGCTGTCCCTGCAGAGTCCGGCCCTTGTACACAAGCTCTGAGGTATAGGGCACAGTATGAGGGAACTGTTTGAGAACTCAGAGCTTAGGACGTTCCATCTCCTTTGGGCGTCCATCCCCACAGAACTCAGGCTGCTGGTCTGGCCTCTCTGCAGCTTCCCAAGGGAGGTGAAAGCAGGCCTACAGGAGCAGGAGGAGGCAGGGACAGTGCCCTGGAAAGAAAACCCTTTGCATCAATTTAATGCTCAGCTTTGAGGGATTCAAAACTAGAATCCTGACGGCACCTGTCTAGGTCACATGCTGTGACTGCCATGTCAGAGTCTGCTCTGCTGTCCTTAGTTCAGGCATTCCTCAAGTTTCAAAGCTCATTCTCATAAATATTAAAATGCCAGCCTATTGTAAGTAAGTTTTCTTTTTCAAAAGAAGGGGAAAGAAAATAGTGTGCAAACATTCTTGAGCTTCTCTTCCACAGAGCACTAGCAGGGACGGGGAATGGTTTGCAATTTTACCAGGGCAAGAAGTAAACAAAAGGGCCAGGGAGATGGCTCAGTGGAATAAGCGCTTCCCCAATAAGCACAAGGGCCTGAGTTCAATCCTGGGTTCTGCCAAAAAAAAAAAACAAAAAAAAAAA